CAGCGCAGTGGCCGCAGCAGGGGATGCAACCGCGGGCCTCGGGGCGACGGCGTCCGGTGTGACGTCAACACGTTCCTGTGAGTGGGCCACGGACGAAGGAAAAGCCACGCCCCTTTCCAACCTGCTCCAATCAGAGGTGCAGAGGGACGGAGCGCAGAAGGTGGTTTCTAGGGAGACCGGGACGCAGTCTTAGCTCCACCCCGCCGCTGCCCTGAGCTGCACTTGTTGAGTCTTTTGAAATGAAAAGGATTGATGCGAAGACGCGTACATTCCGACCTCTTTCTCCGACATTGGAAAGGATCCCTCAACGAATTTTCACCGTTATAGGCGTTAGCTTACTGCAGCAGTTCTCAAACTTTTGGCCTTAGGATCCCTTTACAATATTCTTACAAACTTTTGAGGGCCCCACAGACCTTTTGTTTATATGTTACCTATTGATATTTACCGTATTAGAAATTAGAACTGAAACTTTAAAAAATATGTTTAAAAATAAAATCATTAAATATTTTAATGAAAGTGTTTTGCAAATCTATTTACTGTCCACCAGGATAGTAAGGGAGTCCCAATTCTACTTCTGCATTCAATCTATTGGTATATATGTGTGTGGTTTTTTAAGTATATGAAGAAAATTTGCTCCAATCCCAAGAAGTGGTAGTTTTTGAAAAGTTGGTTGCAATGTGGCTTCATCATACAACATTCAAAAATCCCATTTGTTAATATCACCACGGATTTCATCAGAAAATATTTTAAGTATTAGAAAGCTGTCAACCTCAGATGGTGGATACAAATTTTGCCAAACTCTAATTTGTGCATAAAGGCTCAAATTTAAGCATTGGTAACATATCCATTGTTTTCCTTGAAATGAGAGGTTCACTTCTTCAATTCACAAGAAAGTGAATTGAATGCCAAATATCCAAATCCAAATAATAATTTGTTAATTGTGCTTTCAAAAAAAAATGTTCCATGAAAAAAAAAGACGAGTTCAGCTAGCAACCCAAGTATAATCACACCAGTGCTTTTCCTTGAGAGAACTGATGTACTTTGTATTCAGTAGAAATGATGAATGCATATTGCCCATATCACCACTCAGAATACTTAAAGACACTCAAGAGTAAAGACTTAAAATTAACAATTTTTACTGCTTCATAATGCAACATTTTTATAGGAAACGCTTGTTTCCTGACAATGTGGGCAAGATGAGTAAGAGATTACTGCTACAGTTTGAAGCCACTGCTTTAACTCATGCTTAAGAACCGGCAGTATTAACCTCCAAGGCTTTTGTACCATCAGTGCAAATGTCAACACAGTGAAAGAGGCAAATAGCATTTTAGTGTTATGAAAATACAGTTTCAAAATCACAGACCTGCTGAAAAGGCCACAGGGACCCTCAAACTACTGCTGACCTATGGTGACCCGGGATCTGACCTAGAGCTGACATTCCTTGACTCTTGTCCATCAGTCCCTCCTTAGTGTACACAGTATGCTCTGCCTACAGAAATACTGTCGGTGAATAAGATACTGTACCTTTCCTAGTTTTTGTGGTTTGCTAGGGAAGAGAGCACAATGATTGTGGATCAAGAATTAAACGCCTGAGCCTAACCAGAGTGG